CGAAGAACATCGACTGAATGGATGGCACGTGAGCCCGCCCTATTTTCAGGACCAGTCACGCGACCGCGTTGGCCCCCCATCTTATCCTGCAACACGCAGCATTCGGCCTCGGCCTTCTGGTTTGAAGCCACAGATACATATATTGAAACTTGAGGTCGTGCAGGAACATTGTACCAACCCAGAGTGCACTGCAAAGCGAGGCGAAGATCCACAGAGCGAGAAAACTTGCACACATGAAGACTTGCTATTTCAGGACAGGTCTTAGGCTTCCCATCTTCTTCGGAAGCTTGCGTAAGGAATCATGAGGAATACGCTTAAAAGGCATTTCCAGCCAAGCGATGGATACATTGCGAGAGTGGAGATGAGTGTCCCTATACACACTCTCCGAACAGCGCGCTCGTCTAGAGACAGCACGGAGCGAGAAAGCGGAGAAGAGGGCTAGGACAGCCGATCAAGCACATGAAGTCTACGATGTCTTGCGGATCCTGCTTGACAAGAGTTCGGAGCGGGCCAACATGCTTAAAGCTGAGAAGGTGTCCTACGAAGAGATACTTTTCAAACTCGGGAACTCTCAGCTGGGGCTTTTGTCAGGGGGGCACGCAGAAGAGCAGCTTCGAGAATGCCTGAAACATGTGGACATACTCCTCAAGCGCAGAGAAAACGCTTCTACTACGCTACTCAAAGTCGTTGAGAAATTGGAGGAGGGTATCAAAGCGCTTGAGGGCTGTTCAAATCAAATCACGGGACCCCGGATACCAAGAGCGCAATGAGAGCCGCAACTACGTCGGTTCAACTTGGGGTCGATTGGTGAGATGGAAGGTGATGTGGTGCCTCTTCGCCAGTTGTATGCTGGCGGGAAACAGGAATGCGATCTGTGATCTGCTAAGTACTGTGTTCGCCTACCACAAAGCTCGAGAGCTAGAACGTCAAATTGAAGCCACGAGGAAGACCCGAAGGAAGAAGGTTCAACTTGACCCGAACGAGGTTTTCGCCGAAATTGAGGCTATCCGAAGGGCTCAAATTGAGGTCGGGCGGGTACCCGAGGAAGGCGATGACGGAGAGAAATCAGAAACACCATCAGAAGCCAGGTCAACTATCGTGATGGCGGCGGCGACGGCGACCAGAAGAAGGGGTCGTAGGTGAGGGGGGTTGCCGAGATATGGGCTGGGTACGTTATATTCTAAAATTGTCTGTGATCTTACGCGGATCGTGGGGGTTGTCAATCCCATGTTTAGGACACGGGGATAGGTGTAATATCTCTTGCAGAAGCATGCCACCCGACTGTCCCACACGAGACATATCAGACTCACCGCAATCCTGTCCAGCCAGATATTTGGGACAGTACACTATAACTTGCTCGACGCATGCCTCTTTGCAAGCGTAACATTGCTTCTTCAGAGTGCACATGATGGGCGTTGCTGAAGTTCTATGGTATCTGATCCTCGGATTGAGTTTAAAGAGCTGATCGGTCATGGATTTGCGAGTTATATGTTGTGTTGGCGGCATCACTCGAAACCGGGGGACACTATATACGATCGAGTATGCAACTTGTTGATCGTTTGCAGCTGCGGGGTAATACAAACCCTTGCTGCCTTGGCTTTTAGGGAACCTACCAAAGAAGATGTTGTGAAAACCGCTGGGAAGCCTTTGTCTTAAAGTTATTCTCATGCGTAGAATGGTGATTGGAATTAGACCACCGTAAGTCTTCGGTGCACTCTTCTTCCACTAAGCGTATGTGATGGAGGAACGCAACATTTTCTTGTAGCGACAAGACTTGCCTGTATTTGAAATATATTTCAACACAAACATCAACCACAGCCAATACTAGGTAGACTGGACAACCTCGACATTCGTACGCATGAATAGAGGGAATCCAGATAAATCTATGGTTGAAACACTTGAAGCACTTCTGGACCGACTCCAACTCGTACAAAGAGCTCTCGGCGAAGGCTACCAAGGGGAGATTGCGTTACGCAGTGACAAGAGCCTGCAGAGGAGTTGGTCATCTGGCTGCAGTCATGCAGAGCGCGCTTTGAGAGAACAAGTCGGACCACGAGCCGTTTTCTTGGCGCGGTGGGCACAATTTCGTCCGTTATGGCACAGTACCAAGGTTCGGCAATTGAAAATCAGCTTCACCGGACCGTGGTATTTCTTTCAGGGGGACCGCCCAGGTCCATTCGCCCATCTCCGTTTCGGGGACCTGTGTCCCTGGGAGGCTATTGAGAAGGTGACAGCAACGTTGAGGGACACATTCGTCAACGAGGGATGTCTGCGACTCGAGCCCAAGAATCACATCCCCGCCATAATCGGTTGACAGACTCTAGACCTCGCTATTCAAGGATCTCCTGGCGCAAGTGAGGACACACTTCTGGCATGCCATAAGAAGCTGCCTTGCGAATTGAAATTCCCCAGACGGGGTTGCATCGAATGCCTCCAAGGATTGCATCAGATCGAGGCGGCTAAGAAAGTTGTCCCACGCAGGGACTGGTGGTGGACAATTGACCTGTATCTTGAGGGTGTGTACTGGCCTGGTGCTCCATCCCGCATACCGATGGAAATGGTTTGAACGCAACTGGACTGACCGCCCCGAGTGGATTGACGAGGCGAAAAAAATCGTTCACGATGTCTGGCGTTTCGAATATCGGGGGGCTACTTTACCTACAGAGAGGCCATCCGCCGCCGTTGAGCCAGTTCCAAAGCAGCGGAAGACTTCGGACAATCCGTTCCGGGAATACCTCAAACGAAACCGCTACACAGCGACAGAAGCAGGTCAAGATGGCCTCACGCCAGGCGAAGACGAATACCTCCATTGGATTACGCACTGCGAAAGTAGCGATGGCTCAATCGACGATCCTCTCGCTTACTGGCACGAAAAGCGATTCAAGTATCCAAACTTGTCTCGAATGGCGCTTGATTTTCTCACAATACAACCCATGTCTGCAGAGTGTGAGCGTCTTTTCTCAGCAGCAGGTCGGATGGTGAGCCCTCTGCGCCACCAACTTGAAGCCCAGATTATCGGGATGTGCCAGGTATTGCGGTCATGGCTGAGGGCGGGGGTTATTCATGATTTAGATCCCTTCTTTATCTCGATAGATGAAGAAAGAGTCAATCTCGAATTGGCTCCGATGTCAGATCAACAACTTGAAGAGTGGGCAACACAGTGGCTTACTCAGGTGGCGAGTGTTCAAGACGAGATGGAAGCCAGTTGGAGATAGTCTCGCTTGGAGCCTGGAACAGGGCATTTAGGTGGGCAAGGGCTTCGGGAATAGCTTCGCCATCACGAATTGAGGCACTTGCCAATCCACCCAATCCACCCTAATCCACGACAGCCTCCAGTGGATCCACTATCCTGAGACATTCAGTGGATTATGATCCACCCACTCCACTCGAGCAGCCAGTGGATTGAGTGGAGTGGCTTTCAACCCTGGCGGCCTTCATCAACGACGTCTTTCATGGATGGCGAGGCCTGGTGGGTCAACAAACCTCATCTTCTTGCCCCTCCTATCTCTATCCTCATACTTTTCGTCGCCTCCATATTTTTTTCTCTTCCCATTCTCCGGTTTCCCATCCTGCCTCTTAGCCGCTTCTAGACCAGATCCACCTCCTCGATCCGGGTCAGCGGAGGTATCCATCTTGTCGAATTCCATGTCTTCCAGTTGTTCATTGCCAGCGCTGCCCACAATTCAATCCGCAATCCAATTTCATCCAATTCAAGCCAGCAATTCAATCCAATTCGGCCTACCCGCAAGGCAAGGCAATTCAATTCGGGGCTCACTGGGAATTGGATAGGATTGAGGTCATGCATGTCACGTGTTAGTGAATGAGATAGTGGCTCAACCTGTGGCTCAACCTCTCAGCGCCTAGCCTAATTAGGCCCTTGCCCGTCAATAACAACCACCCCGCGTCCCAGTTGACGCGTTTACTGCTATTTTTGCTGTTTTTGCTGTTGTTGTTTTGCTGCTGCTTTTGGCCCCGCAGCTGCCAACTTGCCTTCCTTCATCAATTGCCCTGATTGAAGCAATTCAGAGTCATATTTATCCTTATCTTCATCATCGTCACAATGTGGCCGGTCGCTGTTCTCAGAAGTGTAACAACCCGCGTGTTACCCGTCGCTTTGAGAGCTGCGTACGCCTGGATGGGTTTTGCGGTGGTGCTTGCGCCGAGTGTGTGTGGCAGTCGCACGGCAGGTTGTGCGGACATCATGACGACAATCAGCCGTCTACGTCGAGCGATGATAGCGACGATTCAGACGATGAGAGCGGCTCGGACGATGAGGGCGGTTCGGACATGGAGGTGAAGGAAGAGCCTGCTGTGATCGACCCGTGGCGCAATGCCCAGGTGATTGGCTCTGATTCTGAGTAGGTGGGCTCGTACAATGGGTTCCCTTGGGTAATGGGGTGCGGTGGTCTTCGTGCGGTGGTTTTCCAGTGACGGTGGGCTCTCTTCCCACTCTATTCGTACGATGAATCTTTTCGTACATCAAATTCAAACTTCTCTCAACTCAATTTCTGTGTGATCATGTTTCCCTATTCATGCGGGCCTTTTGCGCGATGTGCTTTTCAGCTTGCTGCCTTCCAGGCCATGATGGATTTCTTCGTGCGCCTTGGTCCTGATGTCTGCTTCTTTTGAAGTGCCTTGGCTTCGATGATGGGGTTTTGTCGCACGCCTGGGGTCCCATGATGACCTTTTTCAAAGTCCTGGCTTGGATGATAGGGTTCTTTCGTGCGTCCTGAAGTGCTATGACAGCCTTTTTCCAAGTCCTGGCTTGGATGATGGGGTCCTTTCGCGCGTCCTGAAGTCCATGTCAGGATTCCTCTCTCTGTGCTTAGGTCCATGACAGCCTTTTTCTCGTGCGTCTATGTTGCCATGCTGGACTTTTCTTCCCTGTCCTCTTGTCCATGTCGGCTTCTTCGTCGTACATCCATCTGTCCATGTCACCCTTTTTCCATATAAGCCATAGCTTCCAAAGAGTTTCAAGCATCTGGGTCTCGTGGTCACACGGTCCAGTGGTCCAGCGGTTAGGATTCTGACAATTGAGATCAGAGGCTCGGGTTCAACTCCCGGCTGGACCTTCCGATTGCGGTCCCCCGATGCTTTTGTTCCTTTTTCGGCCTCCCCTTGTCCACCTCGTACATGGCGTTTTTAGGACTTGTTTTGTTCCCCTTGGTCCTTTTGGTCTAGTCGGTCCACGTACGCTTCGATCCTAATCTTCAGTCTGTTGGTAGAGATGAGTTGTTCCAGTGCTGAGTTTGGTGTTTTCTTCGTACAAGCATCGGCTGGGTTGTCTCTGCCATCAATCCATCGCACTTCTGAGATTTCCTTCTTTTCGTACGATTCTCTGAGAGACATGATGTCTATCATAAGTCTCTTCTCGTCCGTAGTTCCCAGCTTCACCAAGCATTCGTACAAAGACCGTGAGTCTGAGCAGATTACCACCGGGATTCTTGGTACAGCCAAACAGTCCATGATTCTGTTTAGCGTCGTACTAAGTGCCATTCCACTATCAAATCCCGTCATCATGCCGTACAGCTCACTTGCCAGTACACTTCGTGTCACCCTTTTGCACTTGGTTGAGCTCCAGTGTACGATGTTTCCAAAGATCTCGAAATTGGTCTCAGTACGGCTGGTTTCCGTAGCCAGTACAATGATAAATCCAAGCTGTGATGTGAGATCCTTGTTGTTTGCAAACGAGCCATCTGTGAAGATATACATCTTCGTACGATCGAGTTCAAGTGGCACGTAGGTCAGCCCTCTTTCGGGGTTCTCTATTTGCCACCCTAGTCGTACATTCAAGGTATCCATGTCCTTTTCCTCAGGGTTCTTGACTTGTGCAGCTGTTGATAGGTCGTACGATGCTTCTGGCTGACAGATCGAAGCTATGTATGCTCCTCTTGCACGTTGTGCAATATATTGTTGAGGTGCGTCCTCTTCGTCTGTATTGATTGTACGAAGCTGGTTTGCTTGGCCTTTCTGGGTGAGGATTATGTTGTCCCCATCTTTTCGGATTCGTCCGCCATTGAAGTCGATTGGGGTGTTTTCCTCCAGGGTTATCTTCGGCTTTGCACGAAACTTCTTCTTCTGTAGCTCTTCTTCTTCCCTTTCTGAGAATCGTGCAGTAGCAAAGATCAGAGTGTCGTCTGTCTGAAGTCCTGCAAGCCCAAAGCATTCTGGGCCTTCCGTAGTAAAGAGTAGGCAGGGATCGTACGTGGAAACTGACATCTTCAGAGATTCAGTATGGTGAGTATGGTAGGTCTTGTACCAATGTAGGCCAGATTCGGCAAGGCCGTACAATGGTTTCTCAATCAGAAGGACTGTGTCCGGAGGGTATCTATCCCGTAGTTCTGCTGGTAGTTGCGCGATGATGGTTCTTGTGAGCGGGTCATGTGACTGAGTATATGCTTGGGTGATATCCCGGAGCTCCCCTTTTGCACCAAAGTATAGTACGAGGGTTGGTCCCAAGGCTAGAATCATGCGCTGGCTCATCCGTTGAATTGTAGGTGCTTGGGTAAGGATGATCTCTTTGCCTTCATCACCATAGCCTTGTACGACAAGTCTTGACTTTTCAACTGGTTTAGTTGACTTGTTCTTGATCTCTCGTACCATGCGCGTTTTGTAGACTCTCAGTGCCTTGTACACTGCTGGGTCGTATCGTACAAAGCGAAAAACTTCTTCGTTTGCTAGGGCATCGATTTCCATGGCGTCTGATTCTTCGTACGGAGCCCCTGGGGTGGTGATGATGTTGTCCAGCCGGAGTTTGACTGCTAACTCATAGTTGTCTCTCTCTTTCTGAGTGAGAAAGAGTCTTGATGAAGATCGTACAGGGTGCTTCCTTGGTCTTCCTCTCTTCCTTGGCTGAGTTGGTTCTGGAATAGGTGGTTCTGGAAGGTTGTCGTCTGGTAGTCGTGCAGTCTCATCAGATCGATAGTAAGGTTTGACGTGTGTTGCACGAAACTGGGTTGGTCCATTGACCATGTCCACAGTAATTGTGTATCCTTCGATTCCTTTGATTTCGTACGGTCCAGTCCATCCCTTGTTCTCTCTCCAAACCATAACCTCACTTCTTAGTGGAAGGGAAAGCACTTCGTGCGTGTGTGGGCCGTTTCTTGTGTTGATTGCCCGGTTAATGTTGACTTCCGCACGAATTCCTCTCAGCATCTTCATGGCCTTTTGCACAGCTTCGGCCCTTTGTACAATGTCAGGTGACGGCGGTGAGTCTTGGCTTATCCGTGGGTATGCCCCAAAGACAAGCAAAGTTGGTACGATGCCGTTTGGGCCAGCCGTGTCGTTTAAAGCTTTAATGGCCATCTGAAGAATTGTCTCCTCGTCTGTACAGTGACTGATTTCTGCTTTCAGAATGTCGTACGTTCTTCGGAGTGGTGTATGTGCCCTCTCAATCTTGCCAACTGCCCAGTGTGCTTCTACAGGCATCTCTTCGCACGAGATACCCATGATCTTAGCACTGTTCCTGAATTCCTCCATTGTCCCACGGTCCGTCGACGAGGGGTCTTCAAGTCAGGAATAGAAGGTGTGAGACGGTAACGTAACGCATTTCAAAGACGAGGTGGCAGATCGACCGAATTTTGGTCTTTTTCTCTCCAGTCCCTTGTTCTACTGACTACGCTATACCGCGTTCCAGCCCGAAATTGCGATATACAAGCCACACCGGCGGTTAATAAGACTGGTTAAATTTCGGCTGTATCATTTTCGATATCGTCGATACGATATTGATCGACGATAAAATCGATATTTTTATCGATGACCTTGACACTGATCTTGTGAAGAAATGCTCCGATATGGGTCGGCTCCGAAGTGCACTCCCAAAGCCCCATTTGTAAGTCCATAATCAGACTGGTCCTTGTAATTATTGTCATTGTTAGGGCAAGGCACCAATGAGCCCATATAACCGACATTGGAGCCAATAGTTGTGTCGAACTGGCTTCCATGGGCACCTTCACCGCTCCAAGATATGTCAAAGGGATTGACGAAACCGTTGTTATCCAATGAAAAATCCACAAAGGGAAACGTGAGCTCTTGGTTCAGGGTGTTATGGTGTGGACTGTCGTTGTGAGGCTGCGAACGCAACTTCTTAGCCGCGCGGTCTTCCCCACCAGACGGAGAGGGGCTAGGTCGCTTGCTACCTGCAGGTACCTGAAGAGTTAGAGTCCAATCCTCGGGATCCATGGCGGCTTGACCAGATGACTAGAAAACCACAAAGCAAAAGCGAGACAGTCAAGTTGAGGTCAATAAGACGGGGTAACCAACCGTTGGGTTCCTTGGCAGGCCGTCAGACGCGCCTCAGGCATCCATGCCTCAAGTTACACAACAGGCATTGCCACACTTTCTGTGGCTGATTTGCAGTGTCTCCCTGGCTGGCTATCCCTTGACCGCGTCATCCGCATGTGATAAATGTGAGGGGTTCCAAAGGGCGTTGGTACCCCATCAAGTGTCTTTTCTACAACGCTTCCACAAAACAGCGCCGGGCCATGGAAAATCCAAGCGACAGCCATACCGACACAGATGTCAAAATCGCTCCAGATGGGGACCTTATTCTGAAAGTTGGGCCAGAAATGGCAAAGCTTCTCGTTCATTCTACGCTGTTGAGAGCTGTCTCGAAGCCTTTCTCGGTCATGTTCAGGCCAGACTGGAAGGAAGGCCAGGACCTGCTCGATCGCGATGGACCTGCCGAGTTGCTCCTGCCTGAAGACAATGCTGCAGCATTGAAAATTATCTGTTCTATCATTCACCATCAGAACAGAGAAGTACCTCAAACCCTTGCTGCAGGCAATGTCCTCGCAGTTGCCGTCACCGCGGACAAGTATGATTGCGTGGATGCCTTGAGATTTGCGAGCGAAAGTTGGCTTCGAACGTCTACAGACAAACCTGGCAATCTAATGCTTCTCACCGCGGCGGCATATCTATTCCAGAACGCACAGGCGTTCAAAGACATCACTAGAGCATTGGTACTCGACTATGATGGTCCTTATCTTGCTCTCTCATCCAAAAAAGTTGAATCTGCTCTGACATGGAGGGTCTTCTGTAAGTACCTACGTACTCAGGTGATGGGTTTGGAGATCTAACTGACGGGAAAACGTACAGGCATGCTTGAAGAGCAGAGAGGGGTTGCAAGGCTGAAGTTAGCACAAATTCTCATAGAAGGAGTAGATGCTGGTATATGCGCTCACAAGTGTGGATGGACAAGCAAATATGCATATGCATATATTAAGCAGTTGGATGGAGAGTTTCTTTGGCCAGGACGCTTACCTAATATCCCTATCGCCAAAGCACTAGAGTCAGCAGACAGGATGCCTGATCCGATCCCTAAGGAATCATTTAGTACCCCATGTACTTATGAGTACAAGCATGCCGCGCCAGAATACAGGAGAGACCGTAGTTGGAAATTGGGCAGCTTTAACGAGAGTATCGGGCTTTGCCTGTACTGCGTTCGGTCAGGTAGCATGTATTCTAATTGCAACCAGCACTCCCATATCTAGAGAGGCAGGTATATCAAAGGATTCAGCAATGGGCTACGGCAAGGAGCTCAATAGGCACAACACGAATTGTCCTTCCACATGAAGCTGTAACTGCAGTACAGCCTCCTCTGATGTGTAGTACGAATAATAGCTATAATAATAAAGAGATTTGAGTAAAGTAATTTATGCTCATAACTCTACTCTTCTTGGTTCCACCTCCTGCGTGATACTGTAGAGCCCGTCGAGTTTTCATCCCACATACGCCACTAAAAACCCGACATGGATCTGGTGCTCCTGAATCATTCACGCCGCTTCTCTCCCTGCCTCATCTGCATCTCGCGCAGCGCCCTTATAAATCCCACCACGTTTTCCCCCACGCTTCATGGCCGCTTTCGTAACACGCGGCAATCCTGGCTCTGGGTCCTGCCCTCTGCTTCTAGCACACCAATCTTGCACTTCTGACCACGTTTCCATTTGCCCTTGATGAACTCCTTCGCAGCACGCACTGCTCGTGACACTGGGATGTCCTCAAAGCTCATTAGTACCTTCATCTTCCCTAGTACGACTGACTTGATTGATCAACAAACCTTGGCTTCGGTGTT